AAAATTGTAATAGCCACAATCAGTAGGCCAGCATCATAAAGTGCCTCATGAATATTATAAAAACTAGACAGAGCAAATGATACAATCACCAGCTCTACCAGTACAATGCTAGTTATGTAAATGATGGTTGCAACCTCCTTTGAGTCATTAAGTATCTTGATGCGAACTTTGCGTGTTTGTATGGCAAGAATGAGAGCTATTATTTGAAGCATTCCGAGATAAATGTAAAGAAAAATGAGCCACACAAAGGACGCTGTAGTGAAGCAATGATACACATAATAATCTAGTGGCACTCCTCTTTCCTAGGAATAGAGATTATCGTAATAATCAACTAAGAGCCAGTCATATGTATAATAAACAAAAACTGGGTCATAAATAACATTTTAAGGTAAAAGATTCTTAATCATATACAAGTACTCACATCAAACTTGTTTGAGTTTTCTCTGTCAGATTCCAGTGAGAGCTTCAATCTTGTTTGAGGTATGACAGATCCAATTATCAGTATAGCAGCCATGCCAGCAGTTATTAATAGAATTAAACCAATCAAATGCCAATCAGTAAGTATCTGGATGTGAACAAATATGACTTTAAATTAATATGTGTTTGGGTGATCAATGATAGCATATGCAGTAATAAAAAGGGTAACTGAAAACTATGTGATATCTAATTTGTAAAACTAGTAAAAGAAATTAGAATTTTCCTCAGATATTTCCAAGCGGCAAATTGATATCACATAATTTTGGGAGGACTTACTAGAATATTTTAGCTCCAAAGTTTTATGGTATTAATTAAATAAAGTTTCAAAAAGTATTTATTACATTTTAAATTTAGAAATTGTTCAACTTTTAAAATTTGTAAATAATCCAAATTTAATCGAAATTCGCTCAAACTTTCTATCCAACATAAGTATATGTATATGCTCAGAAAAAACAAAAATGAAGAAATTTTCCTCTTTGATTTTTGGCAAAATTTGGCCAAATACCATGTACTATAGTACTTTAAAAATCCACTGACAAGAAGCTGCATGAGCATTATGCTTAAGTTCTGTTGCACTCCATAAATTGACTTAAACTTTCTACATTGTATATAAACATTAATTATGCATTTTCCTATTATAAAATGTTTCCTAATGGCAATACATTAGTCTAGTTGACTACTACTAAGCATAAAGCATAATATTAGAAAAACAATCATTGCCGATTTGAAAGTAAACAACAAATTAGCTACACCGCTCCACAGCCTATGGTCAATTTGTCAATTAAATAGACATTTCCGTCCAAATGACTGCAGCCCTACGGTTGCAATCACATGCATACTTTTTTATTTGGGGAAGGATTATGAAATATGTAATATATCCTCCACATTTTAGACAGGATAGTTCCAAAAGCAATCGTGTATCCAATGAAATCAAGGTACAATGAAATCTAAATTAATATATAAAAATAAATAAAATAAATCTTCATTGTGGTATAGTCTCACATAGCAGAGTAAGAGTCGAGTTTTCTTAAATCTTTCCTCATCGCTGGTATCAAATGGAAATATTCGTAAAAATATTGAGAGAAAGACCATTGAAGTGCCAGCAATAATGAAATAATTAAGATTAGGACTAATGAGCTTGATTAACCTATAAGTAAAACACACAATAAACAATGGAAGCTAAAAATAGAATTACAGACACATATAATATAATTAGGTGGAGCTACTCATATCAAAAAGTACATAGAATTCGATACTAAAATTAATGGTTAGGAGAGAATTCTCCATTTTTATGACATTTTTGGTGCATATACATGTACTTATGTTGTGCAAAAACTTGGAGTTGATTTTGATCAAAATTAAATTTCTAAACCTGTTCAAAAATTGGGCCAAAACCATATGTACTCAATGCTATACCGTATAGTGCAAAATTTTCAAGGGTTGTAAATTTCATGAATTTTGCAATTTTTGAAGATTTGCAAAAATTACTTCTGCGAAAATTAATTTATTACGGTACAAGATGGCAGACGGCATAAATTTGGGAAAATAAAATCTGCAAAATAGATTTTTAGGCAAATTTGCAAAATTTACCACCCTCAAAAATTTGCGCTACATGATAGTACACAGTATTTGGCCAAATTTTGTTTAAAATGAAAGAAAAAGAATTCTTAATTTTTTCCTGATGCATATACATGTATTTACGTTGCATAGAAAGTTTCAGCAAATTCCAATCAAATTTGAATTTCATTTGCAAATTTTTTAATTTGCTCAAAAATTAGGTCAATGACCAAAGGCTATTATAGCTATCATTTCAGGCCAAATTTCATCAAAAATAACTAGGGTAATTTTTTCATTTTTATTTTTTCTGATACATATACATGTACATGTACTCTGTTGTGTAGAAACTTTGAGCTATTTTTTACAAAATTTTCAAGTTACATACTCAAAAATCAGGCCAATGTACACTGTACATGTACATGTAGAATATGTATCATAAAGGCAGGATTTCAGTTTAGGATTTTTGTTGGTGTAGATGTGAATCCTATACTTGCCCGCGTTTGCGTTACTATTTTTGACAATTTTACAGAGTAAATCCTACACTGTACTTAATCTGTAAATTTGTTTGCTTGTGTCAATTTCTTAATATTTATATTTCATTTGCAAGCACAATCTATGCATGTATATTATCTTTAGATGCTATAAAGTATAATTTTTTGGACTTTTCACACCATACACAATATTGTGAAATGCTCCTTATTCTAATACTGTATTGAAGGGAGTAAAATTTGGCGAATTGCTAAATTTTGGTAATTGGCATACTTTAATTTGGCAAATTTGTGGCTACGTACCATAGAGCATGCACATAATGGTTCAAAATGGCGGGTTTTTTTATTTTGGCAAATGACTATCAAAATGTGAATTCACCAAATTTAATTCCCTCCAGAATTTCTCTCTATACAGTATTACAAAACTCACTTCTTATTTCTAAAATAAAAGGTGAACACAAGACAGATGATGCAGAATACAAGCCCGGCAAAACTGATTGTATAAAAAATGACAACCAATGAGAGATGGAATGTAGACACTATCCTAATAGGAGTACCATCTGATGGAACACCATCTGAGAAGAGAGAGAGAGGGAGGGAGGGAGGATTAAGGGAAAAAGAGGAAGATAGGGAAACAATAATATTTAGATATACACGTTATAGGCTTTGTACCTGGAAATACAGTTTCTGTACTTTCATTGTTCAAATAAACAAAGTTATCTTCAAACCACCTAGCGACCAGCTGCTGCTCATCTACAAATACATATACATGTATATATAATTCTTACATGTACATTATTATAAATGTATACAGATGTTGAGGGTTACTGGATATACACGA